GCAAACTTAGGCTTGTTGGCGTTTTCAGTAGTTCCTACTTGAACCATCGGTCCGAAACGACCTACACGCGCAATAATAGGCTCGCCACTTTCCGGGTGATTGCCTAAAGCTCTTTCTCCGGTTGCTCTTTTGCTTTCTTTGGTAGTGGTTTCAATATCTTTATGGAAAGGAATATAGAAGCCATCAATCATTTTATGCCATTCCTTTTTCCCTTCGGCAATCTCATCGAACTGCTTTTCTACTTCAGCGGTGAAATTAAAATCCAATACATCTTTGAAATTCTCTACCAAAAAATCGTTCACCACTCCACCAATATCGGTTGGGAATAATTTATTTTTCTCGGCACCTGTAACTTCTGTTTTCGTTTCGGTTTTCACTTTATCGGCAGAAAGGGTAAGCACCTGAAAATCTCTATTCATACCTTCTCTGGCTTCCTTCACAATGTAGCCTCTCTTCTGCACGGTGCTGATAGTTGGCGCATAAGTAGAAGGACGACCAATGCCTAATTCCTCCAATTTCTTCACCAATGAAGCCTCTGTGTAACGCGGTAATGGACGAGTATAACGCTGTGTAGCGCTCATCGCAATTAATGGCAAGGCTTGTCCGTTTTTCAAAGGCGGCAATAACACATCACCATCTTCTTCATTATTATCGGTCTCTTCATCAGCCGACTCGGTATATATTTTCAAGAATCCATCAAACAACACTACTTCACCGGTAGCTTGCAACTCCTTTGCGTTCTTATCGTTCTGAATGGTGATAATGGTTTTCTCCAATTCAGCATCACTCATTTGCGAAGCAATGGTTCGTTTCCAAATCAACTCGTACAAGCGTTGTTCATCGCGCTCGTCACTCACATCTATCTTATTAATATAAGAAGGACGAATAGCCTCGTGCGCCTCTTGTGCACTTTCGTTCTTTGTAGCAAACTGTCTGCGTTTGTGATACTTCGCACCATACTTACTGTTCACTTCCGAGGCAATATCCTGCAAAGCCAAATCAGAAAGACTGGTCGAATCCGTTCTCATGTAAGTAATATGTCCGGCCTCGTACAATTTTTGTGCCACCAACATGGTTTTCAACACCGAGAAACCCAATTTTCTACTCGCCTCTTGTTGTATAGTAGATGTTGTAAAAGGTGCTGATGGCGTACGTTTCGTTGGTTTCTTTTCGGTCCCTTTCACTGTGAATACTGCACCAATCAAATCATTCAAATATTTATTAGTAGCAGATTCTGTTGCCGGTTTTTCTGAACTTTCCGCTTTTAAAACGGCTGTACGACCACGTTCATCTTTTACATCAAACGTAGCAGCAATCTTATAAAACGACTCTACTTTAAAGGCTTTGATATCGCGTTCACGCTCCACCACAATACGCACGGTAACCGATTGTACACGGCCGGCAGATAATGATGGTTTCACCTTTTTCCATAACACAGGCGATAATTCGTAACCCACCAAACGGT